GGCGTCGCGCTTGCCAGTCGCCATTGGACCGGAAGAGGCGCCAGCACAGTGCTTTTGAGCTTTCTGCGCCCGACGATCTCGATGCGCGGTCCTGAGCGCGCGGCTCTGAGTCCCGCTTGCAAGGCGGCATCGGACAGGAAGGAGCGTTCGAGTCTGGCGCAGAAGCTGCCGCCGCACGCCGTCGAGAGCGCGCCCTCCCCGGCGTGCCCCTGCTCGTCGAAGTGCAACTGCGGCAGGGCGCAAGTCGTAGAACCTCCCGGCACATCAAGGCCAAGACCACGCGTCGATTTGCGGCGCGGCGATCTTGCACCCGCGCGGCCGGCCGTCGATGGGCGACCCAGCCAACGCCGCGAAAACGAAGTTGCTGCGTCGCGCCTCGGGGGCCAAACGCGCGCGGCAAGCCCAGTGTGAGCTGAGGTAGATAACGCGTGTGTCGATAACTTGTCGCACTGCTGGCCGCGCCCACTGTTGGCCGTTCTGGCCAATAACACCTTCTCTGGCAACGCATCGCGCGCGATCCACCAGCGCCGCAGCTGGCGCTGTCCGGCCAGGCAATTTGCTAGCGCGCCGAATCCCTGAAACCTTCGACAAACTCCTGAAGGGCCCACGGAAGCAGGGCGGCCTAACTCACTCGGGATGGCGTCACGTCATGTCAGCACGTCCAACACCACCGGATCCCGAAGATGACGAAGGCAAGCGGGAACGACCACATTGGCGGCGTCGTCGGCACATCGTTCCAGGAAAAGCTGGGCGACGCGGTGGCCCTGCTCAACCACGTGAGTCCGCGGGCCAACGTTGTGCATGATGACGTTGATCTCCCCGCGGTAGCCGGGGTCCACCACGCCGCCGGCGAATGACTCTGACAGCACGTCCTGAACGTGGCGCAAGAAGAACGCACGTGCTCGGGGGCGCCAGCGCGGCTACGCCCGCGGACGCCACTTCCCAACCATAGGTAGCGAAACTAGCGTCGACGCAGGCGCGGGGGTCGCAGCAGGCATAGCCAGGCACGCCACGCGAAGGTGCCCTCGCATTCAGACTGAGAAGCTGAATCTTCAGCTGGTTACATTTATCACCCCTCGGCGTCGCGGCGACCCTGGCCGTCGTCGCCCACCGCCAGCAGCGCGAGCTGCTTGGGCGGCAGGCCCCCTGAGCGCGAATGGAGCACGCCGAAGTCGCCGACTGGAACGCACAGGCGCCCACTCGGCGCCGACTCAAAGTCGGAGTGGACGGCGCCGGGGCCCCAGGATCCCGCCGCCGCCTGGCCCGACAAAGGCGGAGCGCTTGCGTCTTGCACCTGCCTCCGCCGCCCCGTCGTTGGTCCGCGTGAATTGCAAACGTAACAGAACAGAGTCGGCACCGTCGCTGACTGGCCGCGCCGTCGCGCGATGTCGCCGCGTTTGGGCGGTGATTTCACTAGATCGCCACCTGCGACCCATTACGCACTCCGGCCACGCACCGCTGAGTTGACAGCTTCTCCTCCGAGGGCCGCAACGTCGCCAACTGGGCTCGCAGGGCCAGATCCATGGCGAACCGCATGCCCCAGTGATTGGTCCAGTCGCCTGCGTCGACGATGACGTCTACCTGGCCACCCGATAGTGAAGCATGTGTCAAGTGGCACGGTGCGTCGTTGCGCGAGCTCCACCCTGTACATGACGGAGTCGGCCACCATGGGAGTGTAGGCCTAAATTCAGGCACGTGCAAGTCCAAGAGAGCGTCGCAAGGGACTGCTAAATCTACTGCTGAAGCAAAGCTGCATGCACTGCCTGCGAACCGCAGGAAATCTGGCCGCGATGCCCTTGGGGGTTGGGGCTGGCCGTTGAGACTGCACGGCGACGCGGTGTGGCGGTGTCTCCTCTGGCCCGCCCCCAATCTGGCTCTGCGCGAGCTGGCGCGATCGGCGCCAGACCCGCGGGCAAACGATCTGCATCAACGAAGCGAAAATCGGCGATGACTTCGGCTGGTTCGCGGCGCGCTGGGCAGCGGACCAAGCTGAGCTGGCGCCAGCGCCCTGCATAAGTTGCAGGCGTCAGACACGGCGCAGAATGCGTCGGCGCTGCAGGTGCACAACCCTTGCGCCGCGCACGAAGGCCTCGAGACAGATGGAGCACCCCCTGCGGTCGCAGGTGGAGACAGCAACGGACGGGGCGCAGCAGGCGCTGCAACCGACGCAGGAGGCGGAGTACTATGGATCTGTCCAACTCCGCGCGGCTCGGCGCTGCCGCTCGTTTTGCTGAGTAGCTCCATTGCTAGTTGCGTGCCGTGGCGCTCGTCGAGGCGCGCTCGTTGGGCGCAGTCGAGAGTTGCGCGCGCGCCCTGCCCGGATCGGCTGCCGCTGGACACGCATGTCTCGCGGCTGGCGAACCACATGGCCACTCCTCCAAGTTGTTTGCTAACGTCTAATGGTGCGACTGGGTTAAATTACAGGCCAACTGGAGACTCCGACGCCCGCGGCGACGTGGGCGCCGAGGCCGCGCGCGGCGACCACATGGAGCTCGACTCACATGGCGCGCCGATCCCAAGCGAGGCCGCCGACGGCGCGCATGCCCAGCTCGGCAACTGCGCGCCGGCAGCCGGTTGCGCGGGAGCGGTGGCCCGCGCGTTGAGGCCGCCCACCCAGTCGCGACACATGGCACGTCCCAAAAAGAAATGGGCCGCGAACTCGCGCCCACTGGCGGCGTCGGCGACGCCGCGGGAGATGTCGGCGCCGCGGGCGCGGCCAGCGACGGCCCCCCCGCCGCGGCCGCGCGGGCCCGCGACGTAGTCGCGGGGCCCAACCGCCGAGCAGAGGCCTGCGCGCGGCCCACGAGAGCGGCCATATCCTGTCGCAGTCGTCGCAGCGCGGCGTCGCGCGGACAGGGCGGCGCCGACGAAGGCGCCGCCCCAGCCCATCGCGACCACCAGCTGCGGCCAATCTGATGCGACGAGCTGTCGGACGACGAACTTGGAGCGGGGGCGGCTGCAGCCGGCTGCAGCGGCGTCGACGCCGGCGCCGGCTGCCCGCCACTCCAGGGATCAGCATTCTGCGTGGGACCACTCTCACCAGGGCCCGCAGTCGTAGACTGCGGAGTTCCTCCCGGCGCCCCCAGCCATTCAGACCGCGCATGCACCTGTCTAGGGCCGCCGAGCAGCTGGGCCCGCAGCCCGAGCTGTCCAGGGCGCGCGGGCGGCGCGGGCACCGGCGGCGGGGCGCAGGCGATGAGGGGGAGAGCGCGCCTGCGATTACGGCGCCAGGGGCAGTCGCGCACGAGGCGCCCTTCCGACTCACACTCGTGACATTTGAGACGCACCCCGCCAGACGCCATCGGCTTGCCCCGTCGACCCGAACCGGCGCCGCTGGCTCTGAATCCCCCCCCCGCCACCTTTGCCCCCCCGACGCCCGCGAACGTCTCCCGGCAGCCATTTCGGACAGGTCGGCAGACGGCGCGGTAGCCTTCACCGTGGCCCTTGCCCTTTCGCCCGCTGACCCCCCGAACTCGGCGCGCGGGCTCGCGGTTGTTTCAAGCGTCGCCAGCATGCCTCGGCGCGCTCGTCGGCCCAAGATAAGCGCGCGCCACGTGGCTGCATGGGGGCCTCGCGTAGTTTGGGGCCGCCGGGGGCCTTTTCTCCTTCGCCGAATGAGCCCATTGCTTCAGCGCGGGCGCCCGAGTCGACGCCGGCTGCCGGGGCCGCCTCCTGCGCTGGTCGCGCCGGCGCAAGCGGGCCCGGCACCGCCCCTGGCGAGGCTGGAAACAGGCCGCCCCAGCTCGAGCCAGCCGACCGCAGCGCCACAGACACTCCAAGCACGATCTCGCGCGGGCGCCCTCGCGAAGGAGGCCAACCGCTGGGCCGAGCGAACCGCCGAGGCGAGGCCGCCAGGCGACACCTGATCACGCGCCCAAAGCGTCGCAGCTGCCCAGCCACGCGCGCGAGCTGCACTACGTTGGTCGGGAAGGCCACGCTGTGGTGCTGCAAGATCAAAGCCCCTTGAACGCGGGGCGCTCCGAGGCGCGCAAGAGTAGGCAGCTGGGGCCATCGTGGCCGAACATGAATTGACCAGCTCGTTGCGCGCGGTTGCGGAGGGCGTTGGAGCGGGCGAGGAGTTTCTCGATGCGCTCCTGCGGCAATCTGTTGAAGTTCATCAGCGTTGAGACTGCCGAGGCACGCACATTCGGAAGGCAATCGGCGGCGCTGGCCCGCCGTTGACGCGCCCCCCTTGGATCGGGGCAGCCCGCGCCACGCCGGCGAGTCGCGATGACGCGAAGGCCGCCTGGGTCTGACTTCGCCACCGACCAGACCATCACCCCCCGCGCCCATCACCAGCAAGGCTCCCCCGAGATTACTGCTCGGGCCCCCAGGCGCGGAGGCGTCGCACGCTGCCGCTGCCGCTGCCGCCGCCTGCACCCACGCAGGTTGGGCACCACTCCGACGGCCTCCCCTCTGGGGTGGAGGCCCCTCCATTAAGTCAAGGAGGCACTGGAGGGCAGGGGCCCAAAGGCGGCGCCGCTGACCATGACCTCGGAGCCGCCGCGGGTTCCCGTCCTAATCAGCGTATTTGGCGCAGTCATCAGTCGCGTCGTTGCGGCGTTCTCGACACACGGGGCACCCCGCAACATCGCTGTGGAAATGTCCTTCGGGCGGCGTGTCGCCACTGTACTGAATACCACCAACTGGAAGATCGCCAGGAGGAGTGCGCACAGGGATCTCCCCCTGCCAAGCTGGAAGGAATGATCGCGCGCGCGGCGATAAGTCACGTTCCACGAGATCGACGACAGGCATGCTTCGCTGTCCTTTGGAATGCTGACAACATGGTCGCCAGACCATCCACGGACTTCACACCTCTGCTGCTGCTCAAGGCACTCGTGACACAAATGCGAATGGCTTGGGGCCATGGGCCACAATCGTTGCTGTGAACGCTGTATCGATCAGGTGTTCATTATTCACAGCTGGCGGATCCACGAGCGGCCCATACATAGTTTAAGCACGCCCACGGTAAAGAGCAGGCGGGGGCGGTTGGGCACCGCGGTCCTTGTAGTGATCGATGAGGTTGAATTTGTACTGGTTGAGGTAAAGCGCGTGGTGCACGACGTCGTCCGCCGAACCTGGGGGCGGAGGGGAAACTTCCCATATGACACACAATGTGCACGAAGGCGGTGAGCACGGTGAAAGTGACACACTGTGCCGAAGGCGGTGAGCACGATATACGTGCCGAAAGCGGTGGAGTAGTGGAAAACGGCGACGTCGAGTCAAAACGAGAATAAGAAGAAACACGCTGACCATCGCGGGTAACGGAGGAAGGAGCTTCGCTACCAACTCGAGTGACCTGTAGGAGATGGCATGTTTCTGAAAGCGAATGCGAATAACAGCGGTCAACGCGAATAGAAGTCGCGCGAGGCCATGATGTCGCGAGCCCAAAATAGCGGCGGACAGACAGGGCAGGAAAAGGGGCAGTATCATACAGAAAATACGATTCGAGTGGGAAGCGTAAGAGGAAAGGTCAATTAACGATGATCAAGGATCTAAATGTCAAGAGTCCTGCTTTTGTCTGAGCCTCCGGAGACCTTCGTGGACCTCTGGAGGCCTCGAGTGCGCCCTGGAGGCCTTCACCTGCCTCGAGGGAAGAGGGAGAAGGTAAAGAACGAGCCGACGAGTAGGTCCTGCATTTTCTCGTTCTCCTCTTCCTCCTGCTCCTCCTCCTCCTCCTCCTCCTCCTCTCTCCTCCTGCTCCTCCTCCTCCTCCTCCTCCTCCTCCTCCTCCTCCTCCTCCTCTCCTCCTCCTCTCCTCCCTCCTCCTCCTCCTCCTCCTCCTCCTCCTCCTCCTCATTCATAATACTCCTCCCCTGCTCCTTCTCCTCCTCATCCAGCGTCCCGTCCTCCTCCGTCGCTATGTCCTCCCTCCCTCTCCATCATCCTCATCCTCCTCCTCCTCCTCCTCCTCCTCCATCATCATCATCATCATCATCATCATCATCATCATCATCATCATCACCATCATCATCACCATCATCATCATCATCATCATCATCATCATCATCATCATCATCATCATCATCATCATCATCATCATCACCATCGCCATCACCATCACCAGCATCATCATCATCAAATATCATCATCATCGTCATCATCATCATCATCATCATCATCATCATCATCATCATCAATGATCATCAGTATCATCATCATCAGCATCAGCATCAGTATCAGCATCATCAGCACCAGCAGCAGCATCATTATCATCAGCATCAGCTTCATCATCATCATCATCATCATCATCATCATCATCATCATCATTATCATCAGCATCGCTATCATCAGCATCGTCATCATCATCATCATCATCATCATCATCGTTACCAGCATGATCATCAGCATCCGCATCATCATCATCACCATCATCATCATCAGCATCATCATCGTGATCATCATCATCAGCATTATCATCAGCAGCATCATCAGCATAATCATCATCACCATCACAATCCCCATCACCATGATCATAATCATCAGAATCATCATCATCAGCAGCATCATCAACAGCATCATCATCACCATCAGCATCATCATCGTCTTCATAATCATCACTATCACCAGCATCAGTATCATCATCATTATCATCAGCATCATCATCAGCATCATCATCAGCACCACAATCATCATCATCATCATCAGCAGCAGCAGCATCAGCGTCATCACCACCATCATAAGCATCATCATAATCATCATCATCATCATCATCATCACCACCACCATCATTACCATCATCGTCATCATCATCAGCAGCATCATCACCACCATAAGCATCATCATCATTACCATCACCATCCCCATCACCGTCATCATCATCATCATCATCAGAATCATAACCAGCGTCAACAGCAGCATCATCAACAGCATCATCATCACCATCACAGTCATCATCGTCGTCAGAATCATCACTATCACCATCATCATCAGCATCAGCATCATCATCATCATCAGCATCATCATGAGCATGGTCATCAACATCATCATCACAACAAGCATCATCATCATCATTTGCAGCAGCATCAGCGGCATCACCACCATCATAAGCATCATCATCACCATCATCATCACCATCAGCATATCATCACCATCCCCATCGTCACCATCATCATAATCATCATCACCATAAGCATCATAATCATCATAATCATCATCATCATCATCATCATCAGTATCATCGTCATCAGCATCATCATCGTCATCAGTATCATCATCATCACAAACATCATCATCAGCATCATCATCCTCAACAGAAGCATCAGCATCATCATCACCATCATCATCAGCATCGTCATCATCGTCGTCATCAACATCCTCATTATCAGTATATTCATCATCACCATCATCAACAACACCAGCAGCAGCAACAACATCATCATCACCTTCCTCATCAGCATCATTATCACCACCACCATCACCAACGACATCATCATAATCATCATCAGTACCGTCATTCTGATCCTCATCCTCGTCTTCATCTTTATCCTCCGCAGTATCAGCATCATTATCATACATAATCATCAGCATCATCAGCATTTCCATCACCATCACCATCACCGTCATCATCATCGTCGGCGTCATTATCATCATCATCATCATCATCATCATCATCATCATCATCATTATCATCATCCTCGTCGTCATCGTCATCATCATCACCGACACCATCACCGCTATCATCAATTCAGCACCAGCATCAGCATCAGCATCACCATTATCATCATCATCACCACCATAAGTATGGCCATCATTACCATCACCATCCCCATCACCGTCATCATCATCATCATCAGAATCATAACCAGCGTCAACAGCAGCATCATCAACAGCATCGTCATCACCGTCACAGTCATCATCATCGTCGTCATAATCATCACTATCACCATCATCATGAGCATCAGCATCATCATCATCATCATCAGCATCATCATGAGCATCATCATCACCATCATCATCATAATCACAAGCATCATCATCATCATCATCAGCAGCAGCATCAGCGGCATCATCACCATCATAAGCATCATCATCACCATCATCATCACCATCAGCATCATCATTCACCATCCCCATCATCACCATCATCATAATCATCACCATAAGCATCACAATCATCATCATCATCAGTATCATCGTCATCAGCATCATCATCGTCATCAGTATCATCATCATCACAAACAGCATCATCAGCATCATCATCCTCAACAGAAGCATCAGCATCATCATCACCATCATCATCAGCATCGTCATCATCGTCGTCATCAACATCCTCATTATCAGTATACTCATCATCACCATCATCAACAACACCAGCAGCAGCAACAACATCATCATCACCTTCCTCATCAGCATCATTATCACCACCACCATCACCAACGACATCATCATAATCATCCTCAGTATCATCATTATGATCCTCATCCTCATCTTCATCTTTATCCTCCGCAGTATCACCATCATTATCATACATAATCATCAGCATCATCATCATTACCATCACCATCACCATCACCGTCATCATCATCGTCGGCGTCATCATCATCATCATTATCATCATCATCATCATCATCATCATCATCATCATCATCATCATCATCATCATCATCATCATCATCATCATCCTCGTCATCATCGTCATCATCATCACCGACACCATCACCACTATCATCAATTCAGCACCAGCATCAGCATCAGCATCACTATTATCATCATCAGCAACAGCATCAGCAGCAGTTGCATCAGCAGCCTCATCATCTGCTGCTGCTGTTCCCATCCCTCCTGTCCCATCCCCCCAAAGCGCTGCCACCCCTCAAGCCAGCCCCAAGCCTGGCCGTCCTGGCTGAGCCTCGTTCTCTTCTCCTTGGCCGGCTCCGCGGGGTCCACGAGGTCCAAGTCGGCAAGGTCGTCGGCCGAAGAGTGGAAGGAAAGTGAGGGGTCGAAGAGGAACGACAAGGATGATAAGAAGGGTGTCGGAGAACATAGACGCGGGAGGATGAGGAGTCGAGGGCAGCACTGGAAGTGGGATGACCAGAAGGGCAGAATGAGGAGAGAACGGGCACGAGGAGTAATGACAACAGGAAAAAAAGAGAGTGAATCAAGAATAACAGAGCGGTGACGTGGAATGAGCATGCGGTCGCGGATGATTATGACGACAGAGACATAGTGAAAAGGAGAAGGACGATAAAGAACTATGATGACGAGAAAGAAAAACGGAGGGATGATGAGAAGAGAAAAAGAGGTTGCGAAGGCGAATGGTGAGAGAAGAATGATGCGGATGATGAGTAGGTGGATAAGGATGAAGTCTAGTAGGTCTTTGGTTGTCGTGGTATCGCCCTGCCGACTTATTGAGCCCCACATGTGTCCGAATATAACTATTGCCACATCTGTTTGTGAAAGCGTTTGTCCTCGCCCGACTGCAAAGGCGCGGTCGAGTCACTGTGGTAGCAATTGTGGCAATGTTGTGCATGACCGCTATAACTCATCATAATATGGCTTAATCCGATTAGCGATGACAATTTCCACTACCTGCTGCGCCCCTACGCGAACTCCGGGCGAAGTTGTATTCCACGATCCAGCATGTCGGAACACAAGGCCAGCGTCGCCGCACATGCCGCCGACCAGGTGCCAGCCGCAACCCTTTTGGCCCACGCGGCAGGACCCGCCCAGAATCCACGAAGGCAGCCCAGCCACTCGCCGACCGAACAGGTATGGACACCACGCTGCGCGTCGTTTGCAGCCTCGTGGGCCACGTTGGCCGGTCAGTCGGCCTCTTGGTCATATGATGTACCTGTGGCGCAGCCAGGGGAAGTGAAGGCTCGCAGGACAGGTTGCGTTCAGCCTCCACAGTAGAAAGGGCTAGGCCTTCTCTCTGGCGGGCTAAAGGCGAGTGCTAGGAGAATTTGCGCCACCTGAACCGAGCCCCTCAGCCCACCGAACTACGATCAGACTGTCGCCTCCGCGCTCCAAGGGCATTTCCCTTGTTCGATCCAGGGGGGGCCCTCGAAGAGCAGGGAGGTCTTGGCGCGCTTGGGCGGAGGTTGGTCCAGGGAGGCCAAATACTCCTTCGGAGGCGTCGCCAGCTCCACCCGAACTGCGTCTCGCGCTGCTCACCAGAAATTCGACTACGCCCCATTATCGTGGATGCAACACCCCCCTTCCAACGTCCCAGCTGGTAAACGTCACAACGGAGGCAACGTCCCACTGTTTCGGTCGCGTATAGTGCGGCTCGTGCTGCCACTGCCCTTGTGCTTTCTCGTTTGAAAGCCGTCCGCTGCCCGCCACACAAGAGACCGCCGGAAGTTCTTGGCAAGCGCACAATCGCGCCGCGCCCGTGAGCCGCAGGCGCGATGCAATCGGTCGCCGGAAGCCCTGCGGGGCCACTCTGCAGTCCGCGGCCTGCGGCATCACTCGGAACCTGGCGGGATCCTTGCGACACCCCCCGCCTGCTGTTCGTCACGTCACTGCTGTGCCAGACCATCTGGGGTGCCGCGGGTGGGTCGCAGGCGGGTCGCGGGGTGGGTCGCAACTCGCGAGTGGTGTCGCGGGTGGGGTCGCGGGTGGGGTCGTGGGTGGGTCGCTGGTGGGTCGCCAGTGGGTCGCCAGTGGGTCGCGGGCCGGGTCGCGGGGAAGACGACGAACAACAACAACAACAACAACAACAACAACAACAACAACAACAACAACAACAACAACAACAACAACAACAACAACAACAAGAACAACAACAACAACCACAACAACAACAACAACAACAACAACAACAACAACAACAACAACAACAACAACAACAACAACAACAACGACAACGACAACGACAACGACAACGACAACGACAACGACAACAACAACAACAACAACAACACAACAACAACAACAACAACAACAACAACAACAACAACAACAACAATTACTAGCACGTGGGGACACTCCGTTCTCACCAGTGCCAGGGTTTTCATAGGAGGCGGGCAATACCCCCACTTTGTGGGGGGGCCGGTTCAAGCTCTACCAAATTTCCAAACGACTCTTCGCCACCACCCACACCCAGCTTCCCGCCCTATGACGTTCGGACACTTCACTTCGTGGCATGCGGACGACCGTGGCTACTATTCAGGGCCCCGCGGCCGACGACGACGGCGTGCGCGCGCGAAGAAAAAACGAATGTGTCCCGCATGGTATTATTTGACAGGGATGATGGCCCTGGCAGGTGCGCAACCTGGCCGTGCGCAACCGTTGCAGAAGTTCGAAAAAGTTGCTCGCAAAAGCCCGTTTGACAGAAATGTTTAAAAAGTGTTGGGTTTCCTACGAATCCGCAAGAGCGCGCGGGATGAAATTTTGACATTTTTTTTTGAAAAACCATTGGTTTTTTGATGTTTTTATGTTAAAATCGCTACGAAAACTAAGGTTTTGGAAGGATTTCGTCTTGCGCGCGCGAATGTCCACTTTACCTTATTTGTTGCCAGGGATTCTTGAAGTTTGGTTATGTTAGAACAAGAAATGTCCACTTTAGCTTATTTTTTGCAAGGGAAAACCGATCGTAACAACACAACCGGATCCGGACCAACCCGTTTTGCCTGAGACTTCCTCACGAAAATGATGAAAATGTGGCTGCGGCCTAGGCGCGGCGGGGGGGTCGTGCACCAGGGGTCCCAACAATAATTATTCTTTAGAAATAATAATGTTCAACAACAACAACAACAACAACAACAACAACAACAACAACAACCACAACCACAACCACAACCACAACCACAACCACAACAACAACAACAACAATCATACTAAGACTGTTCGCCCTTCTATGCTCGAGTGTCCCATAGCGCCTATTTCCCAAACCCTCGATACCCGCCCTCTTCGTCTTCGATCGAACCCTTCTTGGAGGGTATACCTTTCTTCCCTGCAGGCCAGGCCCTGGCAAGCGGCGGGGCGGCCGCGGACCGTCGGGCCAGCAGCAGCGCTGATCGGCGGGGCGGCCGCGGACCGTCGACCCGACCCCGAGAGGGATTGACAGGGGACCGACCACGACGACGATGACGACGACGACGTCGACGACGACGGCGACGACGACGACGTCGACGATGACGGCGACGAGCGAAAGCGGGAGCGAAAGAGAACGACTGCAGGGCCACAAGGACACGAAGTAGGCCACGAAGGGCAACAGCGGGGACACGAAAGGAATGCGTATGGGGCCACGAAAAGCGCGAACGAACAGAGGCCACGAAGGGCAGATAATGCGGGGCCACAAGAAGCAACGATGGGGCCACTGAGGGTAGCAACTGGGCCACGTAGGACAGATGCATATGGGGCCACCACGGACGCGAACGAGCGGGGGCCACGAAGGGCATTCATATATGGGGCCACGAAGGGCAGCGAGGGGGCCACGAAGGGATGCAACGGGGCCACGAAGGGCAGCGAGGGGGCCACGAAGGGCTGCAACGGGGCCACGAAAGGCAACGATGGGGCCACTGAGGGTAGCAACTGGGCCACGAAGGGCTGCAACGGGGCTACGAAACAAAGCAAGGGGGCCACGAAAAGCTGCAACGGGGCCACGACGGGCAACGAGGAGGCCACGAGGGGCTGCAACGGGGCCACGAAACAAAGCGAGGGGGCCACGAAGGGCTGCAACGGGGCCACGAAACAAAGCGAGGGGGCCACGAAAGGCTGCAACGGGGCCACGAAGGGTAGCGAGATCCCGATTCCTATGTAATCTGTGAAGGAGTCCTAAGCGTGAGCGCGACTCCTGGGTGCCTGGGTGTCGGGAGCGCGGCGCTGGAGTAAATTGCAAGAAACTCCAACGCAAGGGCGCTATTTCAGTAAATTCTAAGCAAGTCTCCAGCGAGAGCGCGATTCCAGAGCGCAGGAGGAGCGATTCCTGAATAAATCGTAAGGAAGTCCCAAGCGAGAGCGCGAGTCTTGAATAAAATGCGAAGTCTCGGGCGGGAGCGGGGGCCCTGGCTAAATTGTGAGAAAGTCTCAAGCGGGAGCCGTTGTTGTTGTAACCCAGGGGCCAGGGGGCCAGTTTGAGCAGGAAGACTTTCCTTGACAAAAAACAAAAGGCGAGCCCCGGGGGGGGCACTTCAATTGAAAAAATAATGTGCACCGGTGGGGGGGATCAACAATAATTATTCTTCAAGAATGAGAGTTTAACAACAACAACAACAACAACAACAACAACAACAACAACAACAACAACAACAACAACAACAACAACAACAACAACAACAACAACAACAACAACAACAACAACAACAACAACAACAACCACAACCACAACCACAACCACAACCACAACAACAACAACAACAACAACAACAATAACAACAACAACAACAACAACAACAAGAACAACAACAACAACAACAAAACAATGAAAACTATAAGACTGTTCACTCTTACTTGCCCGTGTGTTATTCAAAACGAGTTCCCCACACCCTCGATACCCGCCCTTTTTGTTGTCGACCAGACCCTTTTTGGGGGTATTATTACTCTGTGCGGGGGGCGGCGGGCTTGGCGGGCAAACATGAACGGGCGGACAATGCTGCGTGGGCGTACATCCGCCCGCCATTGGAATCGGTGTGGGCCCTGCAAAAAGAGGAAGGGGAGAACGATGGAGTGGGAGGAAGGGAGGGGGAGGGACGAAGGGAGAGGGAAAACGCCAGGAGAGAAGGAGCGAAGAGGAGGGCGGTTGATTAGAGGCAGAGAGGGAGAGGAAAAAAAAAATCAGGCAAATAAGAAAGGTAGAGAAAGAGAGAAAGGGGAGAGAGAGAGAGAGAGAGAGAGAAAAAGAAAGACGGAGGGAAGCGACAGAAGAGGGAAGGGAGAAGGGAGGGGGGAGAGGAGGGAGAGGGGATAGGGCAGAGAGGCATAAGGATGAGGGAAGAGAGGAGGGAGAGAGAAGGGAGGAGAGGAGGGAGG